TCCTGAAGTACTCTCTGAAGTCCGTGTGTCTGAAGTAAGGAAGTACCGCTACCACCTGATCTGTATGTCTAAATGCTGTGATGAGAGGACATACTGAGTCGAAGCCTCGGAGGTCATTGAGAAGGTCCAGTTCGTTCAGTATTCGTGAAGGGCTACTGGTGACATAAATCTTTTTTATAGCGACGTACTTTGGCCTTCGTCTTTGTTGCGCATAGTCGTCCATATCCGCCAATGCTTCCATACCGGTACGTCGTTTCTTCAAGGGTGGTGATGTCCATTTATTTTCCTTTTCTTCAATATCCCAATCATTTTCGTAGGCGTCGTATAACAGATCCTCGGCTTTGTACACTGTTGAGAAAGTACCTACAACGCGTTAGTGAATACAAAACACCTTGGTGACACGTGAATTACCCTCTCCAATCCGATTGATCAATCGAAAGCGTGCTTTTATTCCCTTGAACGTCTCTTGAAACTTTTCCATATCCTCCATGACAGACGGATCAACAGCTTCCTCACTATCATCGGAGAAGTCTGAGTGCTGCGCATCCTCTTCCTCTAAGGCGGCTCTTGATTCGCCCGTCTCTCCTTGCTCCTCGAGGGACTCGTCTGGATCCATCTCGTCGTGGTGGATTTCAAACGGTACCTTCGCGTTCCGTAGACGAATTGCTGCCATAGTGAAGCTTGTCAAGCTTCTACTATAGAGGAGAAGCAATAAGCCCTACAACATATAACAATTGGACTTCAGAAGGGCTTGCAATTGGTTGTTTAGTTTCAGGTACAGCCTGCAAAATAACGTCGGTGGGGTGTCAACAGCCAATATCCGGGCTACGCCGCTTTTGGACGCGAACACAACAACGCGGTCTCCACGGGCGGCCGATGTCAACAGAGGCCTTGCGACGATCTCACTCAAGCAGTAATACACATTCATTGATGCTGTTCTTGAGTAGTCGCATATTGCGCCCATATCACCGCCATGGATACAATTGATTTTGATATCAATGATGCCCTCAAACATTACATGAGCGATCCTGCCACGATCACTACCCCAGAAGCCGATTCGAATCTTGTCGACTGCGAAAACGACCCAGAATCTCTCACGAACTCACTCATAAACACCGTACTAAACCCAATCGTTGATTCAGTGGCGGAAAATCCAGATGCGATCACAAGAAGTGCTTCATTTGACTCCTTGCAATTCCTCTTAAAGTGTGCCCCCATTTCCTTAGATGCTATATATCCCACAGAACCAGATTCTGAGCTTTTCAAACTTTCTAGATCCTCCTCCGCCCTGCCTACACATGCCTTGAGCAAGATCTTTGATCTCGTCGTCTCGGGCCTCTCAACGGAAGCCGACATCATACACAACGATCTCGAGACGGACGAGCAAGAACTCATCTCGCATCACAAGCAGCTGCTAGAGGTCTTTGGCTTTCTGTTACAATGGACAATAGCAGCTGTCGAGACGAAAGCGGCGGAGAAATCCACAAATGCACCAGCTGCCCGAGGGCGAGGCAAAGCTGCTAAATCAAAAACGGCTTCGAAAGACAAGGATGGGAACTGGGACTCTTCTGCGCAATTGCAGACTGCTCTTGATATAATGTGCAAGGTCCTCAAATTAAAGCTCTCCAAGATATTCCTAACGACTTCGGAACGAGACACGTTCATTAGTCTCCTTACTAGACCTGTGTACATGGTTTTGGAGAGCGAACAAAGAGTCAAGAATACTGCTATTCGCATGCATGCATTCAAGGTTTTGTGTATAGCTGTGAAACATCATGGACACGGATACGGTATGAATAATGCTTGTTATAATGCAGCAAGGCTAACCAGATTATAGCTGCACAAATCTCGATTGTCCAGAACTTAACGTATTTTGAGCATCTTGCCGAGCCTATGGCGGAATTTCTGCACATTCTCTCTGAGCAATACGATTATCCACAATTGGCTGATGAAATCCTTCGGGAGCTGAGCAACAAAGAATTCAACAGCAATGACACCAAGGGGCCAAAATCAGTTTCCTCCTTCATTGTCAAGCTGTCCGAGCTTGCTCCAAGGCTAGTTATCAAGCAGATGACTATGCTTGCAAAGCAATTAGATAGCGAATCATATGCCCTGAGATGCGCTCTCATCGAGGTGTGTGGGAACTTAGTGGCCGATTTGAGCAAGCAGGAGGAGCGTGGTGATAACCACAAGTCGCAGCTGAATGCGTTCTTCGATGTCTTGGAAGAGCGATTTCTGGATATTAATCCCTACTGTCGGTGCCGAACTATTCAAGTCTACGTGAAGCTTTGCGAGCTCGAGCAGAAATTCCCTAAGCGACGACAAAAGGCTGCCGAATTGGCTGCAAGGAGTTTGGAGGACAAGAGTAGCAATGTCCGACGAAATGCTATCAAGCTGCTTGGAACTTTGATCAAGACTCATCCTTTCAGTATTATGCATGGATCCCAACTCTCGCAAAAGGAGTGGACCAGTCGATTAGAAACGGTCGACGCGGAATTGAATGCATTGAGACCTCCAGCGGATGCACCAGGACTCGATGGTAATGACAAGACCGTAGATCCAGCACTTCTAGATGAAGCCACGGTGATAGAGTCTGATTCACCTCAGAAACCGATGAGCGACGAGCAGAAGATAGCAGCAATAAAGAAGGCGCAAGAGGAAGCCGCTACCTCTGAAGCCATCAACAAGCTGACACTCACAAGACGATATTACGTTGAAGCCCTGAAGTTCATCGAAGTATTGCACGGCGCAACCACTACCATTTGCCAACTTCTAGGATCAAAGAACAAGAGTGAAGTCATTGAAGCGATGGACTACTTCGAAATCGGTGATGCCTACAACATCGAACAGAACAAGCTGGGCATTCGAAGAATGTTGCGACTTATATGGACCAAAGGTAACAGTGATGAAGGGAAGGGCGTGCAAAACCATCTCATTGATGTCTACAAACGACTCTTCTTCGAGGCTCCAGATTCCTACACGGCTAATGATGCTTCAAACTACATCGCCCGGAATATGATCAGCTTGACGTTTGGTGCGACACCAGCTGAGTTGACATCTCTGGAACAGCTTTTGAGCACTATGATGAAGGCCAGCCATATCTCCGACCTTGTTGTCACAAAGTTATGGCAAGTATATGGTGTTCAAAAGAGAGAAATCTCGAAGAGCCAAAGACGTGGTGCAATTATCGTCCTTGGTATGTTGGCCACAGCTAAGCCCGAAATTGTCGTGGGTGAGATGGAGACCATGCTTCGAATTGGTCTTGGCAGCCTCGGTCGATCAGATCTGCAATTGGCAAAGTACACCTGTATAGCACTTCGACGGATCAATCCCACTGGACGACAAGCTAAGGAGACTACTGTTCAGACATCAAAGCTTCCTAATGATCATGCTGTTCTTTTGAAGTTGGCTGCGGTTATTGAGATCGAATCCGACAACAAGGAATGGTATGGTGTCGCCGAGCAAGCGATCAGTGCTATCTACACTCTTTCGAAGCATCCCGATACGCTGTGCTCTGAGATTCTCCGACGGAAGACGAAGCATGTGTTCCAGCAGCGCATAGCTAAGACACCAGAACCTGAGCAGCCAGAGACGTCTCAACTAGCATCACCACCGCCTGAAGCAGCAGAACCTGCACCAGTGGATCCTGAACCTAAGCTCAAAGGATCCATCGCTCTATCACAACTTCTATTCATCGTTGGCCATGTTGCAATTAAACAGATTGTCCATCTCGAGCTTTGTGAATTAGACTTTAAGAGGAGGAAAACTGAGGCTGAAAAGAACAAACCTGCCGATACTCCAGCAGACAAAGCTGCAAAAGAAGCAGCTGACGATCTTGATATGATTGGTGGCACGACGGAAGACGATTTCACTGAGGCCATGACCCACATTCGAGAACGGGAGCTTTTGTACGGAGAGAACTCACTTCTCGCTAATTTTGGCCCTTTGGTGTCTGAGATCTGCTCGAACAACACTACCTACAGAGACAGAAACCTTCAAGCGGCTGCGACGCTGTGCTTAGCCAAACTCATGTGCGTCAGCTCAGAGTACTGTGAGGCCAACCTTCCTCTACTCATCACTATTCTCGAGCGATCGAAGGACCCAATTACGCGGTCGAACGTTGTCATTGCTCTTGGTGACATGGCCGTTTGCTTCAACCATCTCATCGATGAGAACACTGACTTCTTGTACCGCCGTCTCAACGACAAGGATGCTAGCGTGAAGCGAACTTGCCTAATGACTCTTACTTTCCTGATCTTAGCCGGTCAAGTGAAGGTCAAAGGCCAACTCGGAGAGATGGCCAAGTGTCTCGAAGACGAGGACAAGAGGATCGCAGATATGAGTCGCATGTTCTTCACTGAGCTGAGCACGAAAGATAATGCAGTGTACAATCACTTCGTTGATATGTTCAGTTTGTTGAGTGCAGAGAAGGATCTAGAAGAGGACTCACTGAAGAGAATCATTAAGTTCTTAGCAGGCTTTATTGAGAAGGTAAGCATCGTTCCCTCTTTCTACTTGAGTATGAATTGGTCTAACTTTCGAATCAGGACAAGCACGCCAAGCAACTGGCAGACAAACTTGCAGCTAGACTCGCAAGATGCGAGACCGAAAGGCAATGGAACGACGTTGCGTATGCTCTCAGTCTGCTTCAGCATAAGAACGAAGAGATCACGAAGTTGGTTTCTGGAGGATTCAGAGTTGTGCAAGCGAATGCGTAGATAAAACTGGTTATATGATGTATGCATGTAATGTGGGATGTGGAGTTGGTGGAAGCTCTGTGCAAAACAAACGGCAAGGCAAGGACGGCATGGTCGGGTGTCGGCGTTTTACTGTTCGTAGTTATGTTTACGTGTCATGAATCAAGTCAACGGTTTCAAATCCCTTCCAAACTTTTCAATACTATCCTGGAACTTGTGAACAAATGACCTTCTAATCTAGAAATACGATGTGAAATGGGAAGGTAAAATAGAACCACGGAGGACGGGCCATCAAAAAGAAGATACTAGGTGTGGGGTTTGATCCCACGATCTTCTGTGCTCATAGATACTGTTAGGAACAGCTCCTTGTGAGACAGATGTCCTACCACTAGACCAACCCAGCTATGTGGAAGTGAATTGCTTATTTACATCTATGTATGCTCGAAGGTGCGTTTGTAGCTCCTGCAGTTTTAGGATGAAAAGGGGTGCTAAGCGAGGACTTGGCATCGCAGCTGTCAACGACGCCTTTTGGCTGCATTGAGGTTGTTCGCAATATGAAAGGCTACACATTTCGATGGCAAAAATGACGCGATGTATTTTAGAGGAGGTAATAGGCAATTACCAGCAAGCTGGTCACTCATTAATTTTCGAGAATTTAAGGTTGTTGAATTGCTATCTGCGCCGCAACTCCGCAAACGATATCAACACAATCTTGAGCTTCGACGAACAATTACAGTCCACATTCAGTCCTATTTTCGAAGCAAGACACAGAGAGATCGTTGCAGTCTGCAGCAGAATCCTTCAGGGCACAATTAAAGAGTTATGTAGTTGGCTACCATAGGAGCTTGTCATCTACGCTGTCATAAAATTTGTTAGCTTTTCTCGTTAATGCAGCAAAAAGGAGCATATCCATATGACATGTGAATGACTAAGATCCTGCATTACAAAACCAGAGAAAAAGAAAAGAGGGTTGATAACATACTTTGCAAGTCTACAAGATACAGCAAGGAGCGGTCCCCGCGCCAAGCTGCCGGCGTGCCCTACAAACGAGAAACTATTAGTATCCCTCAAGCTGTAACAAAAGTAAAGACAAGATGCCAATATCACCAAATCTCTGGTCCCTATTCCAACACAGAACAGTGGTGAGGAGGAATACAGCAGATGAAGCTAACGAACTAAGACGACGAAACAACATAATAAAGGTCCATAGGCACTGTTTCTTGATCCCTCACCCCAGCACGCCGCTATCTCATTACTGCAGTCATAATGGAAAAGATACTTACAACTCATCCAAGTCTCCACGAGCAACGACAACGTCTTCAACCATGATGGACCCGTCAGCAGCAGGCTCTGGATTGGCTTCAGCGGACGCCGATCGAGCGACGAGGCTGTTGTCGACAGGGACAGGAGTTGGGGCAGCAATGGCGGAGGTGATGATCGATGCACCGACCGCGAGAGAGAGGGAGGTTGAGGCCTTCATGTTGAGGATGGATGGTTGATGGTTGGAGTCTGTGAAAGTGCCGTTAGTTGCAATGTTTGCTTTATAGCGTAGAAAAGAGGGAGCTTGTACTACGCACCTAAATTGAACCGGGGAGAGTTTGAAGAAAGTGTTGAATGATTTGAGTTCGTGATCGATTCTCATGCTGGAAAGTTGAGGGTTTTAATCCTCGAGAGTCAAGTTCAGCTCATTGCGACACCACCAAAGCCCGTATTTCCTTTCGCGCATTGAAGACGATGTTGTTGCCAATCATGTAACATCTTTTTTAAGAGCTAGGGATGTAATGGGATTGTTTGGTTTTAGTTCTAGTAATGTTGGGTTGTATCTCGTATTGTCCGGCCGGACATACCGCCTGCATTGCGCAGCGAGGCGCGATGGTGGACAGCTGAACCGACAATGCGGACCGAACAGCGCTTGCTTTCGACGGAAGGCTGGATCCAGAGGACAATGGCCACCACTGGAATGGTATCGGAACAGGCTCGTCGGCTATGAAATGCAATGCTGTTGCATTGACTTTTTTTGTCTCGCAAGAAGTCAGGGATAGGATTCGTTTTCTATTCTCGGCTTGGACGTGAACCTTTTCACGAACGGAACGAGCAGCGAACTCATTTTCAGCTGACTTGATGAGATTAAAACATCATGGTTTATTTTAATCAAGTCGATCGTACTAAATACCTAGGCATAACTCAGTGCGAGCGACGAAATGCTGTGCGGGCACGTAAATTCAACAGTGCTAGTATTGTACTGTACAAACAGCAAAATGAAGAAAAGGCAATCAATACATAACGTTACACTATTTTCCATAACTCTCATATCTTACCCTACTTCGAGAGTTATAGCACCAGTTTTGTGGCACATCTATAGAATCGCATAAATTGGTCATGTTTCAACGCTCTTTGGATCAATCAATATTCCAAATCAAATGATGCAATATCAAAAAATGACCAACGGCACTTAATGAGCTCAGCTGCAAGGGACGGAGAGCTAGCATCGACACAGAACAGATGATGGTTTGAGAAAGGTGGTACCTCTGACAGACTACTTCTGAGAAGAGTGCTGCCTTCGATTTTATGACCTACTTCTGCTTCACAAGCAAAAGTCTATCTTCGCCTCGAACCCCGAGAACATGAGCAGTTGGCGCAGCCATTGGGTCACTAACAACGGCAAGTTCGACAGCGGTCGATCGAGGCGACTGGAGTATCTGTAGTGATGAGCCTATTGCGATTTGGTATTGCTCCTAAAAGAAATTCCAGTGCAATATTGCAACGAGTGTTCTGGAGCAAGCCTGGTTGATAAGTGCAATACGCTTCATTCCCAACCCAAGCACGAGGGCCCTAAACTAGGAAGCTACAAAACGCATAATTAAAGGAATGCTTCGCATTCTTGACTGCCAGATATCGATTTATGCAATTTTACTACATAATTGTGCTCAAGTAAGCCAGTGTAAAGAAGCATTCTGCTAGGTGGAACTTAATGTGGGGAATTTGGATCGGCTGAGATCCGAGACAGTGTCTTCTGGAGACTGGTATCTCTCATGGCTCATAGGCCATTTAGAATCTTCCATTCTAGATGCAACCACGTAATAATGGCCCGCAATAAGATGGATACTTTGAGCATGCAACGTGCTCTAAGCTAAGCTTCACAGGGAAAGTATGTTGGCCACACAGCAGGCGAAGTTTTGCCGACGAAGACGCTACGACCTATCTGGAGGCATAATCCTCTGCAAGTGAGAAGTATTAATATGTAGGTATTGGATCTTTAGGTATGATGTCGAGCTGGGATTGCGTTGACAAGGGTCCGTTGAGCGAGCATTACCTACCTGCACGGAGTACCTGGATTTCAGCTAGGCACGTGACTCTAGGCGCTAATGGCTTAGCAGCTTAAAACCCTGAATTAGAGCCTTTGTACAAGTCAACCCCTCCCCCCCTTTACAATCATTTTGCTCTACCCTCTTGTGACAGCAATTCCACGGGGACTAAGCGTCTCACGTGATTCTATCCGAATCATTTGAAGGTTTCAACCGAAAATGCCCTTGGCCCCACATCCCCCGCAATACCCTTGAACCTACCTAGGTACGAGTAAGTTGGAGCCAATATATCAACGAAGAGTTTAGAGTGCTCCCTAAGTCTGCTATTTGGCAGGAAGAATGTCGGCGTCCTTGGCAGCTCGTTTTGATCCGCCATTCAATTCAATTCCTGGTTCCCATTTGAGCCTCCTGTCAATCTGCGATTCGAGTTGAGGCGACTGCTTGCATAATGCTCGTTTGCTCCCACCAGTAAGGTAGTGCGCATATCATCTGGCGAACCACCCTGAGGCGACCGCAAGGCTGTCAGCCAGGCTACATCTTTTGATTCCCTCCATTTTGTATTCTTCTATGTCTGTATTCTTGTTTATCATTCGTATCAGCTTAGACAATATCATTATGCGTTCAACATCAGATGATGCGATAGAAGGTCTTTCTTCTAGTTACAATCCGAAAAGTAGTGTTTATTACGATCTTCATCACCGGGAAATCCGCTTGGTCAAGCTTCTCAAAGGCGGATGGTCTGACAAAATACGCTGTCAGCTAGATCAAGTTTCCTTAGACGACCGACCAGCATATAAAGCTTTGTCCTATGCCTGGGGTTCTCCAAGAGCAACGCGACCGATTCTCGTAAATGGACATCAGCACCCAGTGACAGTAAATCTGGAATCTGCGCTTCGACGGCTTCGACGAATTGACAGCGATCTCACTATTTGGATAGACGCACTCTGTATCAACCAGTCGGATACTTCAGAAAGGACTAAACAAGTTAATCTCATGCATGGCATTTATGCTTTTACGGAGGAAGTTATCGTGTATCTTGGCGAAGTACTACAACATGGTTCCGTGGGTTCGAACGATGCAGTCTCTACTTCTACCACAACGTTCCACTTTGACGAACGAGACGGGGAGAAACTCGAAACTTTTCGTGGCCGCTACCTACCAAAGACTGCTCTTACAGTCAAGGGCAAACGAATATTGGACTATGCGTTTGATATTTTCTGTTTCCTTCGTCTTCTCTCAGAGGGGTCGGATCTGAAACATCTTCCAGCTTTGATTCTGAATCTCGAAAATTTGTCGACAGTAAATATCAACGGAACCTCTTTGAAGGGCTGAGGCAGTTGATGCGTTCCGGCTGGTGGAACAGGATTTGGGTCGTTCAAGAGGTCGTCGTCCCTAAGAATATCACGATGGTCTATGGTTCTAGCCTTGCACCATGGGAGATGTTCGTCAATGCCGCACGCTGGGAGTCGCGTAACCGCTCTTCTTCATCTCCCTAATCTTTCCCGCACGAGTACTCGACTGTGCTCGCCTATTTTTCTCGAATAATTCTGGACATCGAACTTATGCGAGAGGTATGGATGGATGGTAGGGACAGGGCACTATTACCTCTCTTGCGAAGGTTCAGCGGCCGAAAAGCGAGCGATGATCGAGATAAAGTCTTCGCACTTCTCAGTTTGGCTCCCACACAGACGCAGATTACGCCGGATTACACCCTCAGCGTATCTGCCGTCTTTCAAACTACGGTTCTAGATATCTTCAAGACGACAAAGTCACTCAGTGTATTGGCTGGGGACCTTGGCAGGAAGGATCGCCAAGATCTCCCATCATGGGTTCCGGACTGGAGTGCTGTCTACGATGACCTGGATCGCCGCCGAGCTGAGAATACGGAGAATTATAATGCGACGGGTGGTAGCGTTGTCTATGTGCAAGATGAAGGAGCTAAGAAATGGAGTGGTATTCGTCAACTCCTGAACGAGATTCGAGAATCGCTGGACGCCGAGATGACCCTAACGGGTGATTATGTAAAGAAGTTCAGTCATATTTTGGGAACCTCGGATTGGATTGACTGGCTTCCAGACGAGAATGAGGTTGGTGTTAG